CTATTTTGTGTGGGAAAGTCATTGGGAAGTAACAGAATATTTTTCAAGAACATCAATAAAGCACATTAAAATATACGACAATTCATGTTTATTTGATGAAAGCTGTGGAAACACAAATATAACTAAATATCAGAGTGAATACATAGTAGGAAAATATTTTCTTCCTCTAGATTAAAGCCCTTAAATTAAGAAGCTGAGTACTAAAAAAGGGAAGTTTGTTTTTCTTTTCTAGGCAATGAATAAACATGAAGAGGACAACTTTTCTTCCAGTCTATGAATATGTAAGAAGAACAGCAAAACTGAGTTACTTGAAAAACCTAACATTTTAAGTTTCTTACATTGATCTGTCTGCAACAGTTTAATTTGGGGAATAAGTCTGTTAAGCAAAGGTTCTGGGGTCTCTGAACTTCTAAAAAAAATTATATCAGAATATAATTATTTTTCTTTTTAATCCTATGTATATAATTTTATGTTTTCAAAAACATTATTCTGATAAAGGGTCTGTCCAGAGGCTTCAGCAGACCGTCAAAGGAGTCCAAGACACAAAATAAGGTGAAGAACTTCTGGTTTATAGCTTAAAAAAATTTTTTTTTCAAGCAAAAAAACAGAAACAAAAGTATTTAAAAGGCATTTGTTTCTTTTGTTGAGAATTATTTTAGCTTAAAAATAAAGTACTGGTTTTAAGCACATATACTTGAACTTAGATACAATTCAGTAAACATTCACCAAGTATCTTGGTCTCCAAACTTACTTGATCACATATATCCCAGGAGTAATTTTTTTTTTTCCTGGTGGGTATGTTAGAGGAGAGAGACTTGGTTTTCTCAATGGTAGATAATACAGTTGAATTGACCTTTAGTTAAAAACTGCCCTTTGGCAATCTCCTACCTAGCTCAGAAAAGCTTGCATGGTGGAAGAGGGGGTGGAGTCTAAGAAGCACTGAGCTGTGACAGGTGAAGGGTAAATGTGTTAGAGACAAACTCCATGACTGAGGGGACTCATCTCCTGGACCTCTAAGTGTTTTATCACGAAAACTTTGGGATTAAGCCAAAGTTACCTTGGTATGTGTTGACAGACTCCACTTTATACACCAGTAGTTTAAAGAACTAAAAAGATGAATAAAACATACTTTTACCCTTCAAAAGATTTATTTAAAAGCATACAAATAAATACAATATACAGTGTAAAAGTGTGAGAAGTACAAAGTTCAGTTAGAGTTCACTTTTTTCTTGAGTTCAGTCTGGTAATGGGAAAAAAGACAGAGGTGGCATCTAAGCTGGGTCTTCAAGGATAAGCAGTTCAAATGATGGAAGTATAGAAATGAGAATTTATCAGACACGAGAAATGAAAAAAGCAAAGACACCAAAAAACTAAAAATGCATGACATTTTCTAAGAAAATCAGACTAGTATGCCTAAAACATAGGGTAAGTGAAGACTAAAAATGTTTGAAAAGGCTAAAAAAAGTAGGTTTCTACCAGACTGAGGAAGGTCATGCTAGCCAATCTAAAGAATGTGAACATAATACAGTAAGCAATGAGGAGTCACTTAAGACTCATGAGCAAGGAAGTAGTGTTATGTAGGATAGACTGGAGGAGAGAAAGCTCAGAGGCAAAGGACACTAGTTAGGAGACTAATATAACAGTTTGGGCAAAAGGTAATAAGGGACTGAACTTACATAGCAATAATGTAGTCAACAAACATTTAATATATTCATTTAATGTATAACAAACTCCAGGCATGATACTAAGCACTGGGGATACCAACAAAAAGCAAAAATACAATTCCTGTCCTCAGGAAGCTCACATTCTAACAAAGGCAAGTTCCAAATAACTGTACATACAAGATATAGAAAGTGTAAATGGAACAAAGGAGAGGATAAAGGTCAAGAAAATATGATTAACAATGATAATCATGAACACAAAAGGGATGAACCCACCCATAAAATGGAAAAAGTTAATGCAATAGATTAAAAAATAGAATCCAACAATGTGTTTCTTATAAGAAACATATCTGAAACAAAGACTGCCATAATTCAAATGAAGAAACAGAACAAAATTTAATTTGCTTCAGGTGAACTGGGGAAAAAAAAGCAGGAGTAGCATCATTTTCTCAGAAGAGGCAACAGTAAAAAAAGACATGGTTAAAAGCACACTATATGACTGCTTAAAGGCATTATATACCAAATGACATAGTATCTAAGTGTGTAAAGGAAAAATTAATTGAATTAGCCAAATACATAGCAAAACTATCACAGTCGGGGACTATCATGTATTCCTTACAGACCTAGACAAATCTATCAAAAAAGATAAAGAAGGAACTGAGTAGAATTTTTTTAAAAGTTAGCTATCTCATAAAAAGAAAGTGAACCAGCCATAAATGAATCCCCAAAGAAAAAAAACCCAGAAGTAGATGTATTTACAAGCAAATTCTATCAAACACTAAAAGAACTCTATAATATAAAGATCTTGATACCTAAAGAAGAGCTAAAGAGAAAAAAAAGGGAAAAATAAAACCATAAGCCTATATCCCTAATAACTATTGATGCAAATATAATGAATAAAATGTCAGGAAAGAGGCTACAGCAACATATTTTAAAGCATATACACCATGACTAGGTAAGATTTATACTATGCATGAAGGGTTGGTTTATTATTAGGAAAATTATGATAAATATAATAGACATCAATAACAAAAACAATACAATTTATATGATGTCAACAGATGCAGAAAAAGCTTTTAACAAAATACAACACCCACTTCTATTACAAAACACTAGAAAGTATCAGAATAAATGAATCTTTCCTTAATATTATAAATGGTATTTTTCTAAAACCAAGTATCAGTATCATATGTAACAGTAAAAAATGAGAGACCTCTTCAATAAGATGAGAGGTAAAGCAAGTTTGTCCATTATCATCATTATTTGACTTGCAACTAAAAATGCTACTATATGAAGACAAGAAAATTAAATTGAAGGAATAAGTATAGACAAAGAGGGAAAAAAACTACCATTTGTTCATGATATAATGATCTGCCTAAACAACCCAAACATCCAACTAAAATTTAACTGAAACAATTAACTTCAGCAAAGTAGCTAAATACAAAATTAACCCTTTTCTGTACTGAACTAGAGGCACAGAATGAAACACATATTTTCAGACACAGCTAACGTGTGGATTTGTTTCAAGGAAGGGTACTTTGGGTTTTTTTGTTATTTTAATGAGTGACAGTGAATTTAAAGATACTAAAAACCATAGTGTTAGTGATACCAAAAACTATGGGGAAAAAAAAAGGAAAGCAAATAGGATCATTAGAGCATTTCTTTAAAAACTGACAGAAGAGAACAGAAGGGAATTTTGAGAGAAATATAGAAAAAAAAAGGACAGCTTTGAAACTGAACTGAATTTATTATGTTCATACGTCTGTATAACAAAAAAAATTATGAGTAGATAGAACAGTTCTTTCACTTCTTCAATGAAAATAAATGGAATAAGTTTGCTTTCTTAAAAACAAAAAAGTAAAATAAAAAGTGATCTTTCTCTTCAGATGATTCAACACAATTCATTTTAAGCTATACTTCTCAAGAGGGGGAGTAAGGTTGTAAAGAACTCCATTAAAGTGGCTTTGTAAAATAAGAATTTCACTCAATGAATCAGTGGGACGTTCATTCATTCAACAAACATTAAGTGCCAAGTGAGCAAACAGAAAGCATCAATCTTCATTTGGATAGACATATAAATGCCAACTGAAAAAATGCAACCCCCATCACTAAGAAGCAAATAAACATTCTGTTATTAATGGCCTCTTTCCAAAAAGTCTGTGTTAATAAAATAATCTGCAGTCCGAATTGTGAAATAAATACACAAATGTTTTCACCAAGTTTTAATATCAACAACACTCACTGCCAAGTCCACCTAAAGCTGCATAAGTGGCTATAATCCATATTACTGTGAAATTAATTTATTCCTTTAAATCTTCCTTCCCTATTTGATTAGCAAATTATCTTTATAGCTTTTTACTAAATAACCAAGTGCCTCACTTTTTCATACTGGATTATATTCTCATTTTTATTCTTATATAAAGTTGTTCATTAAGAAACTGCATATAAATGTCAATTTTCAGTCATTATATAATAAAATGACTACTTGTTCCACAGCAAAATTAAGATGTACTTCAAGTACATATTTATTTTAAGTAACTTTCTTATAAGTTTGTGGATTTTTGTACATACCATATGGCTTCAGAATGAACTTGCTCAAATTCCTTTAGAAATTACTACAGGCACATTAATGATCAAACATCTAATTAGCTGAAGAGTATAATGATTGGTGGATATAAAGAAAGCTGCCAACAGCTCACATATATAGGCTTATTTTATAATACTATTTTGTAACTGGATAAAGTGAATGTTTATGAAAGTTCTCCCAATTGGTACTGGACTATTACGTTGATCATTAATCTCATATCCTTTATCTTACAAACCAAATACTTCCTCCACCTTCTCAATACTTAAAATCAGGCCACCCACACACCCACCCACACACACACACACACACACACACACACACACACACACACACCCTCTCCCAACTCATGAGATTACAGTATATTTATGCTTAACTGGATGCTGGACCAAAATTACAATAATCTTTCATAGGATCATAGTTTTAAAGGACAAGAGGGAAGTTACTGTTGTATGCACTCTTCTCTCCATCATCCTCCACCCCTAAATTCTCATGATAGTATAGTTGCATGAGTCTTTAATGTTTAAAGGTTGAAGCAGAAGCCTGCTTTATTTTCTCTGAACCTTGGTCAGGAATTTAGTAGCACAATATGTGAAGAATCAAATGAATCTGTATCACTGACACAGGTATTCCCTTTAATGATGCAGATCAAAACTTACCCATTTTTTGATTTTCCTGTGTGACTCTTGTACATGCCACAAGTCTTTCAGAGGTTCTATCCAACATGTTCATAGAAGTCTCCCCTAAATCCACATGTCAGTACAAGGATATCAGTGGAGCACGTGAACTGTCCATTAGTTATTTCTCACTGTTACCACATGACCATACATATATTTCAGGACACCCTTTAGAGGATTTATGCTGCATAATTCTTTGTTTCCAATGTGTGGCAGCCTGTTCAACTTCATCAGTTCATTGTCCATTAGGTAGTTTTCAACTTTGATTTTTCAAAGACTGTAGTATTTCATAACTACATCACATCACTCAAAGAATACTGATACCAAAAAAAAATGGGCCCTCTGATTCTGAGAGAAGCTTGGGGTCCTTAAAGAGAATTGTTATTCCCTACTCTGTCTTTCTTTTTTAGTTCTAGACTCCTATTTACAAAATACGTGTACATATGTACATCAAAGGAATGACTGAAAAAGCATGTATTATGTACCTACTAAATGCTTTATATAAAAATATAAAAGTAAAGACAATACCTATCCTCAAAGAGTTTATGTTCTAATAAGGAGAGACAACACACTTAGGAAAGTAATGATCAATGAGGGCCATTTTGATTCAGAAAATTAAAGGAATAGTGAGTGAGGCCATAGAAGAGTAGAATGACAAACATCCCATTCAGGAACAAATGGCAGAATTCTAGAACTGGAGGTTGGGGAGTAGGAGGAGGAGAAAGTAAGGAGATGGCAGAAGAGTAGGGAACGATAAACAGGACTGCAAAGGCTTTCCTGTAATAGTGAGGGGAGAGAGAAGGAAGAGAACAAGCATTTATTAAAAGATTACTAGGTGCCAGGCAATGTGTTAAGCACTTTAAAAATATTATCTCATTTGATCCAGGGCAGGCGGATCAATGAGGACAGAAGGGCCCCATGGCAGAAGTTTTGAGACATGGTCTCTGATGTAGGCAATAAATCAGTTGGCCAGGCTATGAAGAAGATGGCCAAAAACAAGGGAGTGGACAAACTTCACAGGTTGGTTTGGTTTCTTTTAACATTATCATAATCTTGGGAAAAAGCAAATCTTCATACACTATTTGTTTTGCAGTGTGGGTAGGTAGGTCAAACATTTAAGTGGATGTGGAAATCAATAATGCAATAAAAATTACATTCAATAAATGGCCTTTGAAGCATAGATTAAAAAGTAATTGGAAATTCAATAACCTAATCCTAAATAATGAGGTCAAAGAACAAATCATAGAAATAATCAATAATTTCATTAACGATAATGAAAAAAATGAGACAACACATCAATTTGTGGCATGAAAGCAAAGGAGTACTTAGGGAAAATTTTTTATCCCAAATGCATACATCAATAAATGAGAGAAAGATGATATCAATGAATTAGGCACATAAATAAAAAAAACTAGAAAAAGAAAACATTAAAAAATCTCTAATTAAACATCAAATTAGCAATCCTAAATATCAAAGATCAATTAATAAAACTGAAAATTTAAAAAAATAATACTTGAAGCTGGTTTGGGGGGGGGAACAATAAAATAGATAAGCCAATGGTGAATTTGATTTTTAAAAAGAAGAAAATGTACTGTTGGTAGAGTTGTGAACTGATTCAACCATTCTGTAGAGTAATTTGGAACTATGCCCAAATGGCATTAAAAAGAGGCATACCGGGGCAGCTAGATGGTACAATAGATAGAGCACCAGCCCTGAAGGCAGGAGGACCTGAGTTCAAATCCGGCCTCAGACCAACCATTTGTCATGTTACTAGCTGTGTGACCCTGGGTAAGTCACTTAACCCCAACTGCCTACAAAACAAAACAAAACAGCAAAAAAAAAAAAAGAGGCATACCTTTTGACCTAGCAATACTAGGTCTATATCCCCAAAGAGATAAAAAAACAAGAAGAAAAGAACATATATGTACAAAAATATTCACAGCAGCTCTTTTCTGGTGGCAAAGAAATGGAAATTGAGGGGAAGTCCATCAATTGGGAAATGACTGAACAAATTGTGGCATGTGATTGTGATGGAATGCTATTGTGCTATGAGAAATGATGAGCAGGATGCTCTCAGAAAAATCTGGAAAGACTTATATGAGCTGATGCAAAGTGAAATGTACTGTGTACAAAGTAACAGCAATACTGTAAGATATAGGGGGCAGCTAGGTGGCGCAGTGGATAGAACTCCAGCCTTAGAGTCAGAAGGACTTGAGTTCAAATTCAGTCTCAGACACTTGACACTTACTAGCTGTGTGACTTTGGGCAAGTCACTTAGCCCCAGAGAAAGAACTGATGGTGTTTTGTGAATGCAGGTTGAAGCATATGTTTTTTATTTTCTTCAAGTTTTTTTGGGGAGGGGGTATATGTTTTCTTTTATAATATGACTATTATGGAAATGTTTTGCAAGACTACACATATATAACCTATGCCGAATTGTTTGCTTTCTCAATGCAGGGGAGAGTTGGGAGGCAAGGAGAGAATCTGGAATTCGGACTTCTAAAAACAAATGTTAAAAGTTGTTTTTGCATGTAACTGGGGAAAAATAAAATATTTAATAAATTTTTTAAAAACCCTCTTGAAATTTTCCTATTTCTGTAAGCATCATTGGGATCACCTTTGACACTTTTATTTCTCAACACTTTTATTTCTCAACTTACCTTGGTAAGTGATCACTTAACCTAAAATTCTTGTCAAATCCACCTCCACAACATTTCTCACATGTTCTCTAACTCCACTCACACAGACTGTATCCTACTTCAGTTCCTCATTACCTCTCCTGGACCATTTCAGTAGCCTCTTAATTGGTCTCCCAGCTTCCAGAATCTCCTCTCTCCTATTTACCTGTTGCTAAACTAATATTTTTAAAACACAGGTCTGATGATGGATAATAATAAATCTTCAGTGGCTCTCTATGACTCTAAAACAAAATGCAAGATAATTTATCTAGAACTCTACAATTAGGCTCCAACATACCATTCCAGTCTTATATTATTCCCTTAATGAATTCTCTATTATAGTCCAACTGGCCTGCTACTTATTCCCCATATGTATCATTCCATTTCTTGTCTCTGACTGAACAAGTTGTCCCCTATATCTAGAATGTATTCTCTCCTCACTTCTGCCTCTAAGAATCCCTAACTTCCTTCAAAGCATAACACAGAAGCCACTTCCTAGATGAGGCTTTTGCTGATGATTCGAGTGTCAGTGTTTATGCCTATAACAAGTTACTGGCTTTTTTTTCTTTCAATTTTTAGCAACAACATTCCTAATAACCAGAACTGCGTTTGCAAAAATAAATCCACATAAAGGCCTGTCTTGGTATTTACTTTATATTTATTTATCTATGCACCTGCACAATCCCTCCAAAAGAATGAAAATGCTTGAGCACAAGAACTATTTGTTTTCTGATCTCTGGGGCCTGTGTAGTACAGGGCCTTCCAACAGTAGGTGCTTAATAAATGTTACCTGCACTACACTGAATCCTGATTTTTCAAACAAAAAAAGGGAATACTTAAAATTAGACCAATGAACTTTACATCTATTTCCAGCACTTTACCTACAGTCATCTCAAACATAACTTAGCAATTTAAGCGTCTACTCTCATCGCTTCAAAATGTGAAATGTCATGAAAACAGGAGCCATGATATTTATATCTTCTACCACAACTGTGAAAACAAGGTTCTTAACAAATATCAAACAAACACAATTTCTGAATCATTTTTGGTTAATCACACATTCTAGAAATTATCTCTTATTCTGAGTGAAAACGGCAAACTGCCAAACTACTATGGATTGGTTTCCCCATTAGAAAAAAAAAATCAAAATTATCCAAAAATCTTCAGTGACAACCAAAAGGTTAAATGTCCTTTTGATTCTGTAGCTCAATTAAATCTTTGCTTAATTAAAACACTTGCTTTAATTCCTTTTAATTTTTTGTTTGAATCTGAAATTTTGCACTTATAGAAGCAAGATAAAAATGCATGCCTAATGGAATTTGAAAGAAATTCTCTAATAAAATTTAAAGATATAGCTTCTGAAAAAGTAAGAAGGATTTTAAGAAAATTGCTTGAAGTTTCATAGAAAAACCAACCTGCAGATGTAGTGATAACCGTCTTGTTGCTAATACAAATGGTACTTTCTTTTCTTTTTTGTGGTCATCAACTATGTTTCACAGGGAGGTTAAAAATCGTTAGATCTCAAATGAAAACCTATAAAAACATACTGAAAGGCTCAGGATGTCTTAAAAGAGTTTTCTTAGTTTCATAAGCTTTACTTATTTCTCTTTCACAGAGGTCTGGGAAATTAAAATTAGCATTTGAAAGTATTCAAAAATGTTTAAACTTTTCATTTAGATGTTATGTTCTACAGACAGGTGCCCTTCTTAACAAAAGAACTGTACCATCTGCTGTGTCACAATTATGACAAAATTTCATCTATAGCTAAGCAAAAGTTAGAGAATAACCTTTGACTTTTTCATATAATGTAAGTTACTGGCTTTTTTTTCTTTTTAAGCAAAAACTTTCTTAATAACCAAAAGACAATTAGCAAATATAAATCCAAATAAAGAATTCCCTGGTTTCCTTCAAGTCTCAGTTAAAGTCTCTCCTTCTAGAAGAAGCCTTTCTTAGTCCCCTTTAATGTTAGATCTCTCTACTAGATTATCTCTACTTTATCCTGCATGTAACTTGTTTGTACATAGTTGGCTGTTGTCTCCTGCTATCTTTATCTCTTAATGGTGGTAACGAAATCTGAGGTCTTGGCTCAGGCTGTTTCACAGCTACAATACTTTCAACATTCTCTATATAGAAATTGTACAACCCTACCTACTAAAAGTTAATCCAAAAGGTCTTTCCTAATTTTAACTATTCCCCTTCAAAACACTCTTTTAGATGTCCTTGCCCTTTATGTCAGATCTATGATATTCAAACTCAATTTCAAAACTTTTTATTTACTAGTCTACATATTTATAATAGTTCTCCCAATAACTCTATCCCACAGTCAAATGAGTTAGTTTTCATTTTTCCTTTCTCCTATTCCAAGTTCTATGTTTTTATCTAAGCTATCTAATATCATTCTTAAAATTTTCTTCATTCACAAGTATCCTAAAATCTTCCTTTAACACCAGAGATAGACAAAAGGCTATACGCCTAGTAGCATGGTGGATATAAATGTATATTACTTAGTCCCTGACCTATATAAGGAAACTTACAATTTAGACAAGAAGACCACATAAGTAAAATAAATGCAAAGGAGAGAAGTAGACAAAAAAAAGAAATTTGATGGAGAACACCTTCTTGTGAAGGTAGCAGTAGAGGATCAGGTAAGGCTCCATAGAGGAAATAGCACTGGGCATGGAGGTGTGAGGGAAGCATGAAAAAAGGCACAAAGACTAGAGAGAGTAGAAGGAGATAGGTGGTAGACAAGAGTAGTAGTTTGGTCGAGCAGAGAATACCATATAACTACATATGCTACCAGTCAGCTGCTTATGCTTTATCAAGGTCTCTAAAGAACTTTGGTATCGATTATGGGATATGAGAGAAGTTGGCACAGGACCATCTAGCATGGCATGCCCTCATCAAAGAAGGCACTGTGCTCTATAAGCAAAAGAGAACTGTAATCGCTCAAAAGAAACACAAATTTAGAGACATCTCCATCCCAAATGTTCATACAGATTACTGAACTTGTATTGGTCTCATCAGCCACAGGTGGACACAGTGTAAGCTGACCCCAATAAGATGTCATTCTGGCCTTTTTCAAGCACAAATACCAACAATTCACTAAGCAGTGGGAAGCCACTGAAGGTTTTTACATATATATATATATATATATATATGTACACACACATATATATAACATATACACATATATTTTTTTCTGCCAAAATGTTCTAATATCTGATTTGTATTAGTTGTCAACAGTGCAGGTAATGGAGCAGACACCCAAAATAATTTATTTACTGGGTGTTCTCTAATTTTATATAGGTGCTAAAACTAAACACTTATGGAGGAAAAAAACCAAAAGCACCATTCTCTTAACATTCAACAAATGAACAGCATATTTCTTTTCAATTAATTATTAGTCACACTTCATTAGTCATTAGACATTTCTATATAGTACCAATAAAAACTAGAAGAACTCAATAGAAATAGAAATGCCATTTCAAATGACAACAAAATGCCTTAAATATCTGGAAGTTAACCTAGCAAGATATACATCAGATTTATATAAATACAACTACAAAACAATTTTTATAAATATGAGATCAGATTGGCAAATACGAAAAAAAGAAAATAAATAGCTTATTAGGTACTAGAGCTTAAAATTGCATAGACAGGTCTGGCACACCCTGTAATTATGGCAGGTTTTTTCAAAGCAGCCAAAACCTGGAAACTAAGGAGGTGCCCACTTATTGGGGAACAGCTAAGCAAATTATGATATATGAACATAATGGGATATTATTGTGCCATAAGAAATGACAAAACAGACAATCTCAGAGGAAACTGCAAAGACATTTATGATCTGAAACAGAGTCAAATGAGCAAAGCTAAGAGAATTTCCACAATGACGACATTATAGGGAAAAACAACTTCAAAAGACTTTAGAATTCTGCTCAATGCAATGATAAGTCATGAATCCAGAAAAATAAAAGTGAAGCACACCACCTACTTCCTGCCAGAGCAGTGATGGACTTAAAACTCAGAATGATAAACACACACACAGACATATCAATGTGGGAAGCTGTTTTTATATTGGGCTTATGTATACTTGTAAGGGTTTTGTTTGTTGCTGCTCTATTGGGAGAGCGTAGAAATAAGAAGGAGAGATCTGAAAAACACACAGAGATCTAAAACTGAAGGGATATTTAATGTTCATGCTTAAGCTAGGCTGATTCAATGAAAAAACAATCCAAATTTATTTCAGTATTTCATATACCAATCTGATAAAACAAAATAACAAAATTAATAAGGAACAAAAGAACAAGAACATCAAGGGAAATAATTTTTTAAAAAAAAAGGTAAGAAGGGGTAATAGTATTACCAGATCTCAAATTATATATGAAAACAGCAAATTTTTCCAAATTATCTAGTAATAATTTTTTTTTAAAAAAGCAAAGTATAAGTAAGAGTTTGAAGCAAATGGATACAACACTATAGTATCTGATAAACTTTAAGAATACAAATTATTAGGGAAGGAACTCATTATTCACCAAAATCTGCAGGGAATACTGGATTTTAGTTTGGCAGGAAATGAGTTTATACAAGTATCTTATATCATATACAAGAATAAGTTCCAAATTGATAAATAATTTAACTATAAAAAGACACACGATAAAAGGAGAGAAGAATACAAAATTATATCTTTCATAAATGTGGATAGGGAAAAAATGCTATAACCAGAGAAATATCTATCAAATTGGCAAAGAGGTAAAAAAAAGATGGGGGGAGGGGGGAATGATTACTGGCCTTAGTGGGTAAGAGAACATTAGTCACTTCTATTGAAGCCATGAAATGACAGAATTATTTTGGAAAACAACATGGAATCTTACAAGTTAAGTTATAAAAATTTCAAGCCCTCTGACCCAGCAATCACATTACTAGGCTTATACCCAAGGAGACTGACAGTAAGAAAAGCCTTTTCTTTACAAAAACACACACAGAAATCCCATCTATAATGGCAAAGTGTTGGATGCAAAACTTGTACCTGAGGACCAGAGAACATCTGAATAAATAATGGCACATAAACCACTGCACCATTAGAACAAATACAAATAATTCAAATAAACATGAAGAGTCACAAGAAATGATACAGAAAAGAAGTGTCAAATATTTTGAGGCCTGCCCAAACCAGATTAAAATGTAATCGAAAAATATTTAACAAAATGAATAAAAATACAATAGAACAAAAATACATTAATGAACAATTTTCTAAGTCACTACGTGATCCACGGGGATTTTTAAGTGTGGTTTGTATTTCTATTTGAGTGTAAGCCACTGTTGTACACTGAAGAAAGCAGATACAAAATAACACTGACTACAGCTATGAAATTCACACAGCATTAAATGGCAACAAAATTCATGTCAAATAAAATGAACAATGAATTAGACAGTTAAAGTCCACAGACTTCCTTTCTTTTAACAAATAGTAAACTGTAAAACTCCATAGTGGCATGTCCCGCTCTTTTCTGTTCTTATTCTGCTTAACTGTTTTCAGAGGGGCACATACTTTGTTTCTGGCTTGGGTTTTTATTTATATTTTGTCTTCTGAATTAAAATAAATTTAATAATGTGAAAAAAGTGAAATCATTTCTAAAGGGTATCTAAGAGAATAGTGCTATATTTACCATTTTGTAATCCCATCCAGAGTTGTTTATGATCCTTTTTCTGCATTTCATTGATGACTTGACTTTTATGCTTTAAAGCATCAGCTTCTTTCATGCAAGACATAAAATGGGCTTCAATTGTATCCTTGGATGGACAATGCAGAAGATCTTTCTCTGGAAAACTCTATCACATAAGGAAAAAAAGAAAATCACAACATGGGCAATACAAGGTAAGTGAAATAACCACATGAAAAATGTAATTTTATCTCCACATCAATAAAATTAACCTTCCTTCTTCCCTCCTTTTACCCTGATTTGGCTTAAATGTAAATAAGAGTTTACATTTCTTCAATTTTTAATTGGAGATTGACATAGCAATAACTAAGCATTCTATATAAGCTTTAGAAAACCAAACAAGCTTTCCTCTACCATAACAAAAACTGCTACAGAAAGAGGGTGTTCTTTCCCTTGATTTCCTAATATCCCCAAAATAGGGTGTCATAATGGAAAAAAAGCATGTTGCAATTTTAAATATACAGAATTTCCTATAGTTTTTTTCTCCTCGCAAAGTGCTTGTTACAAACTATTTTTACTAGTTTAATACAGGGACTATTTCAACCCAACTCCAAATATTTTTTAAGCTACTTGCCACATGCCAAAATAATCTGTATCATTTGAGGGGGCAGCTAGGTGGCACACGGGGGCAGCTAGGTGGCACAGTGGATAGAGCACCAGCCCTGGATTCAGAAGGACCTGAGTTCAAATCCGGCCTCAGATACATAACACTTACTAGCTGTGTGACCCTGGGCAAGTCACTTAACCCCCACTGCCCAACCAAACACAAAAAATAACAAAAAACAAATAATCTGTGTCATTTGATGCTTCATGTTCTTATATAACAATGTATAACAAAATAGAAATAAAAATCAAATCAACAGACATTTATTAAGCACCTACCATGTACAAAAACAATAAAGTTTCCATAAGGTAAGTCCTTGCCAAACTCAAAGAGTTTAGAGGCTAACCATTACCTTCATAACATCTCTTGTACATATCCTATTTTCTCCACTCAAATAGCCACAACCCTAGATCAAGCTCCTTAATTCTTGCCTCAACTACTTAAATAGTCTTCTTATTGGTTCCCTTCCTCAATTCTCTCCCTGCTCCAATCTGTCCTCCACTCAGGTTATTTTTCTAAAGTCTAGGTTGAACCATGAGCTCCCTTACTCAATGAGCTCCACTGGCTCCCTATTACCTCCAAGAGTAAATAAAAACTTCTGTTTTGCATTTTTTGTAACCTGGCTCCTTCCTACCTTTTCAGTTTTCTTAAACTTTATTCCTCTCTACACTCTACAATCCAGCAACATGGGTCTACCTTGAATTCCTTGAACATGACACTCCAACCCATCTCTAAGACTCTGTCCTGGCTCTTCCCTACTCTTTGAATGCTCTGCTCTATCATGTCTGCCTCTTATGTTCCTTGACTTTCTTCTAGCTTAAAGACCATCTCATGTAGGATGCAGGCCAAATTATTGCCTTTAATCCCCTCAACTAATGCCTTCCCTTCTCAAAGTGGCTTCTACCTAATCTATCTTTTATCTTCTATGTATCTAGTTATTTGCATGTTGTCTCCCCCTTTAGAACTTCAGCTTCTAGAAGTGAAGGACTGTTTTTGCCTTTCTTTGTATCCTCAGAACTCAGCCCAGTGCCTGGCACAGAGTAAATGCTTAATAAAAGCTTGATGACTGACTAGAGAGATCATACACAATATTAAATGATAATTTCTACATGTGTATATTCTACAGCTGACCAAATCTTTAAAGTTATACAATGGACTAAAGGGACAGAGAATATAAGATCCCATTATATATTGACCATAAAAAGTTTCTGATTCAATAAAGAAAATACAGCCTTTAAACACTTTTCTCCAACAAGTTATCTCTCATGCATATATTAAGAGCATTCAAGATTCCCTGAAAGACACAAGAGTTAACTTTGTTGAATTAAGTCTTTGAAAATTAATAACAAGCAATGAATGAAAAGGGAGATGCATGCTCATCAAAGATGCTTGCCACTCTTGTACAGAATGTCAGAAATGAAGTCTTAAGAGTTAACAAGCATTTAAGTTATTAAATATCTCTTATGTATAAAGCACTGTGCTAAGCTTGGGAGATAAAAGAAGGTTAAAAAAAAAGAATAAAGAATAACTACTACCTAGATCAGGGTGGGAAACATAGGGCCTCGAGGCCACAGGCTCCCCACCCCTGAGTTAGATTATGATATGCAATCAGATGGCTAGCCCCACTGAATTAGCAGTATCTCTATCTTGGACAAAGAATGAGCTGGGACCCGAATGGAAAAGGGTCTATCTATATTTAAGTAACTGTGTAGTGGTTCCAAAACCTCTAAGCTTCTCCCTGAAACAAAAACTCATCTTTCAACACCAATATACTTTCAATAATGGACTTTGGCTACAAATCATTTAATACCAAAAGCTCCAAAAACTCTAAATTAAAAATTGTACTTTGTTTTGATTATGACTATTCCTTCAGCACTCCTGCCACGCAACTTAAACCCTTTCCCCCTCTCCCTATTCCCTCCTATTTTCCTGTTGGGTTTAATAGTTTTGACTGCAGGGGTAGGGAACCCATGGCCCTGAGCCACATGTGGCCCTCCAGGTGCTCAATCCAAATCTGTTCTGTGAAGTTCTGATTCAAAGGGCCTCACTTGAGGACTTAGAGGGCCACATGTGGCTTTGAGGATGCAGGTTCCCCCTTTCCCCATGCCGGTTTGGTTTACTCTGTGTGTGTTTCTGTATGTGTTCCACTTATTTTGTCCAATTCAAATGAAAGTGAGATTCATAGAACATGCATTCCTCTCACACTTCCATGTCTGTATACTCTTCACTTCATATACTCTTATTATGTGAGATAAGTTCTTCCTTTTCACTGGGGTATAGTTCCTTAATCCTCCCTTTCCTTCTCCTAAAATCATCAAAATAGAACACAATCACACATGACCCTCTGCCTATCTTAATTTTCTCTATGATCCTTAAAGGCATGGCTTAAGAGGACACTTGCTATTTTTCCCCTATTAACGTGTAAACAATTCATCCTCACAGTCCCTTATGATTGATCACATGTATGTACTTTTGTATGTTTTTCTTGCCTTCTGAGTTTCCATTTTAAGGATTCTACTCAAGGAATAAGCAAGGGAAGGCAATAAGCACTTATTAAACACCTACTATGTGCCAGGCACTATGCTAAGCACCATACAAAGATGCAATTCCTTTGTGGTTGTTACCTGTCAAGGAATCTATCTTGATTTAAAAATATACACAAGAGACTTCTAGCCATCAAGTTAGCAAAGAGGCTAAAAGAGGGGAAAATTAATTGTTGGAGAGGCTTTTCATTATGCAATGCAAAGGCACTAAATAGTTCTTTGATCCAAAGATTCCATTTCTATAATTATGTTATGTCCCAAGGAGGTTATAGACAACAATAAAAGATCCATATGCACAAACATTTTCATAGAAACATTATTTGTGATCATAAAAATCTGGGGAAAAAATGTGTCCAATCACTTAGGAATAGTTTAACAAATTGTATGTGGATTTCTGTGCCACAAGAAATGACAAATATAAAAAAAATACAGAGAAACATGGAAAATCTTATATAAAGTGATAAAACACAGAAAAAAGACTATCACACATAATGACTGTAATAATGTAAATAAACCCTGATCAAATGCAACTGATTATATTAGTACCATAATGCCAAAGTTAAAAGACATCTTACCTATTAATAAGGGGAATGTACTTTAAAAAAAATAATATTCTAATTTTCCCCAATTACATGTAAAAACAATTTTTTAAATTTGTTGCTTTTTTAAAAAAAGTTTTGATTTCCAAATTCTATCCCTCCCTCCATTCCCCACCCCTTTCCTGGGAACAGTAAGCAATCTGATATAGGTTATATGTGTGCAATCACATAAAACATGTCCATATTAGTCATTTTGTGCAACAAGACTCGAAGGAAGAGAAAAATTGTATGCTTCAGTCTGTATTCAGACAACATCAGTTCTTTCTCTGGAGATAGCCTTTTCATCATGAGTCCTTTGGTACTGACTTGGATCATTGTGTTGCTGAGAATAACTAAGTCATTCATAATCCTTTTTTGTACAGTATGCCTGTTACTTTGTACAATGTTCTCCTGGTTCTGTTCACTTCACTTTGTATCAGTTCATGTAAGACTTTCCAGGTTTTTCTGAAATCATCCTACTTGTCATTTGTTATAGCACAATAATAATATTCCATTACAATCATATACCACAACTTGTTCAGTCATTCCCCAACTGATGAGCATCCCTTTGATTTCCACAAAAAGAGCTGCTGTAAATATTTTTGTATTAATGTTCTTTTCTTTTTTTAAAAAAATCTCTTTGAGATACAGACCTAGCAGTGGTATTGCAGGACCAAAGATATGCATAGTTTTATAACCCTTTAGGTATAAGGGAATGTACTTCGTTAAAGGGGGCTTTTTAAACACTTTGGAAACCACTTCTATGTCCAAACAAAACGTATCAATAATGTTTAAAACAAACTAAAAAATACAGATGAACATTTTGCAACAAAAACTAAAATTGGAATCTTTCTAAGCACTTAACAGAATAAGCTGTTGATAACATGTGTTAATGTTTTATGACAAAATTAATGAACAAAAAATTTTAATCCAGATGAGAACTTAGGTTCAGAGAGCTTAAATGCCTTACCAATTCCCACAATCATGCACTGAGAGAGATGGCAAGTTTTTTTTAATTTTCTAATTAAACCATACCATGGACTTGAATTGAAAGATATTAACTGGAGCAGCTAGGTGGCGCAGTGGATAGAGCACTGGCCCTGAAGTCAGGAGGACCTGAGTTCAAATGTGACCTCAGATCAAACACTTGACACTTACTAGCTGTGTGACCCTGGGCAAGTCACTTAACCCCAACTGCCTTAAAAACGAAAAAGAAAAAGAAAGATATTAATTTCCTGATTCGCCTGTATTAATTCCCTGACTATCCTTCACAAAAATCCTAATCAGTTCTGAAGTTCACAATAGTAGAAGTTCTCTGTATTATAGAATTCACTAGATAACATCTTTACCCATGAAACTATTATATATATGTACATACATATGTGTATACACACACACATATCCATTCATTCACTCACTGGGACCTCCTAAAAATTGGAAAATACACTTGAGAACGCATACTAGCCATCAATTTGTTTTATTTGAAGCTAAGTTTTTTTTCTGCTTTTATTTTATTTTATATTTTATAACGAACTCACTCTAAGTGTAATACATTCTACCTTCATACTGGAAAATGAACACTAGACGTCTGAAATCCCAAAAGCAGCTTTCATGACTCTGCTAAGATCCTCTCTCCTAGCACCCACAGCTTTCTACAGGAAACTGGGTATCTTACCCAACTACCCACCAAAGTATTAAGAGCTGGACTGAGACTGGAATCCAGATTTTCTGACTCCAAATGCAATCTTTCCACTGCTCCACGCTGTCACTATCTTATTCTCAAAGAGAAAATATATGTGTGTATGCACACATATAAACATATATATTGTCATATATTCTCAAAACCTCTGCAAGTCCCAGATTTGGGGGGAAGGAAGGGAAGGTTGGAAGAGAGGACAGTGGACATAGACACAGGTTAAGTAAACACAAAAATACATAAAAAATAAACAACTGAAATAACTGATTCAGTGTTTCTCTTTTATACCTCAAAAGCTGTCTTATTCTATCCCTTTTCCTTCTTTCCATTCTCAGTGTTTGAGAAGGTCTTCCTTGCCCCAGAAAATCTCTCCACCTATGCCCAAAATGCAACCTCCTCCAGTTTCTCTCAGAATTTTGATCCATTAAGCATCCTTGTCTTCTCTTTATAATGCTTTTCTTATTCAATAGGCAGGTGAGTATTGTTAGGGCAGATCAATCACTGGAGAACATCCTCTATGGGGGCTAAATATAAAATTCCCTGGCTTGAAAATATTTCCAATGTAAAATGACAAGTAGCAGTCAAGCTGGGCTATGCTGAGCCCCCCCAAAGCTTTGGAGGACAGAGGTCTATATGAAATAGGGGTAGACCAAATGGTAGGAAACTTATGTTTTAATCTTGACCTTGGAGTCATATACCTACCTACTCAGTGGAGCCTTTGTGCTCACCATAATTCAGGCTTGGATACTGTAACAAAGTGTTCCATAAGCTATCTAGAAGGTAGGAGTAGGATTCAGGACACAAACAAGATGCCACTACTAGGCACCACAGAAATACTGCCCTGAATAAATTTAGAGGGGATATGGGCTTCATCATAATTCTAAATTTAATGTTAAGGTTGCAGAAGTAAATCCTAAAGTGATTTCTCTACAGTCAGAAGGAAAGAGAAATTGTGGCTACCGTTATTTAGTTTAGAATTTTAACCACAAAACTGCTTTTATACAAGCTAGTTATTATTATACATTTAAATGTATAATTTTATTTTTATTTTACTAAACCTAAATATCATCAAGCTGTACATCTTCAGAGAACATGAATCTCTGAAAATCATGACAGTAAAAAGGTTGCTTACTCTATGAATATGTGTTCCCCAAAAAGGAAGACAGTTTGAAAGAATTTTTCAAGCTACATTTTAATTGGCTTAAGCCTTAAAAAAACCTCATGAATATGGATGGCCATCACACCCAAGAATATACAAGTATTATGATATAAGATAGGAAGTTATGTGGAAGTTAATAACAGAATTCTTAAAATCTTCATTTCAATTAACTACAATTCTAAGTGTTATCTTCAAAGGAATGGACAAGGAGGACTGGAGCCCTGGCCCCCACCAGCAGCAGCCTCCTCCTCTACCCTGCTTTCCCAAGGCTCATTTTTGGGGCCTACCTACCCTGACCCCTTGGAATGAAGTCATTAGAGTGGTTGCTAGTGCTGGCTTTTCCCTCCTCTCTTAATTGGGTTTTCTTTTGAGACAATATTATAATGTAAAAACCTCTGATTTTCTACAATGGGTGATAGGCAACTCCTTTTTCTGACCCCAGGTCCCTGTGAAAACCAAGGGCTTTTGGTCACTTGAAACAATAAAATTTTAGTTTGGTTTTGTTTTTGGTGGGAGAGGGAGGTATATAATGGGCCAAATCTAACATTCAATTCTTGTGTTAGCTATGTGGGCACAAAGAGTATAATCAACTACACACAAACACAGGTCAGAGTGGAGAAAAAAAACGAATGGTAAGACTATATAGTAGTATTATTTTCTCTATACAGTAGCTGCAGGAAGATATCAGCACACAGTCATGACATTCTGTATTCTGCTAAACAATAAAGAACATCTAATTTTGCTTCTCAAATTACCTTTAAGTCCTTTCATCCCATACAGTAAGAATGTCAAAGCCAAAAATTGGTTTTTTTTTAAAATTAATGTCTGTGTTCTTAAGATCTTGGCTTAATAAAAACGAAATTTTCTCTAGGCTACAAAAGTCACCAACAGGGCATGAACACCTCTGCTGTGTTAGTGGCCCAAATGCAGACCTGAAAGTTCCTTTATGACTTTCTTAAGGGTGTAACAGGATTCAGTTTCAATACTCATGTAGTGTAGGCCCTCTCTAGATCAAAGCCTAATCTGGTATCAAAATGTCTGATTTTCCTTAAGATGATAATTACAGCACTGTCCCCTAATGACTGAACTCTACCAGACTGAAAGTTTCATTTAGCTAACTGAGTTTTTTATATCACTAACTTTCCAGAATATATAAAAAAGTTATATGACAAAACATTGAGCCCCTTGGAAATTATTAAAATATTCATGAATATGAAATGTCTTAATACTATCCTCTTCCAACCACTTCCTAAACTTACTCACCAGACTGCTGCCTAACCACACGCTCGCTGCACGTTAGCTGACAGTTCTTTTTTGGGAGTATAACAGAATAGCTCCATTCACCTACAAACAGGAGTTTACTGGGAAATGAAGGAGGAAAATGAAGAAAGGAACAGAATGAGCACAGATTGCCCCTTGAATGCGGCAAGTAAGAGGTATAGCTCCTCTAGAAAAAAATGCTATCTACAACCATAATGAATGTTAGGAGAAAAATGGTGGCACCCAAAACTCACTCATATTTTTTTAAGTTCTAGGAGGAAAACACTTTTCAAAACTGTTTTCAGAGAAAACATTTTGATTCACCCTCTTCTGGCTTTCCTTTCCCTGAGGTAGATGAATCAAAGCAGTATTGGTTAGAATTTGATGACACTGTACTTGAAATTAACAAAAGCTCTCAAAAAAGAATACTTTAAACATAAATATCTTCCTTACTGGCACTATTAAGGCATAAAAAATCTTTAAACATCTTTGCCAGAGCTTCAGAAAAGAGTAGCAAGGCCCACCAAATAATGCCAGAAGGATGAATAATTAATAATTTTACTTTTTAATTCCATTCCTAATACTCACTTATCTGGAATCAGAAATGGAAAATGCTATTTAAACTGTACCTTAAAATGTACTGTGATGTTCCAAGGAAGAGCTGTATTTGATGCAAGAAGATCAAACAGTAAACCAATTGGATAATGCCTAAAAGTGAAAGAAGGCATTTTAAGATAAAAGTGAATATTTACAGTTATAGCAACAAATAAAAATAAATTTCCAGTATATGATTGTACACCAAAAATTTAGGGAAATCCAGTCATAAATCACATGAAGACAAAATTTTATTTAGTTTACATGCCCGGGGTACCATGGTACAATTTTCAGTCATCAGGTGGTTTTTCTTCTTCCACTTGATTCCCCTCTGAAGCCTCGGTATGCATAAAGAGCAGATTATACTAAAGAGATCTTTCATCAGACTGTCTGACCTTTGTATGTGTCTTTATTAAATATGCTACAATTCCTATAATATTATAATGATATACAATTATCATCCTGTGTTTACATAATACAATTTTAATAAATATCTGACTCTAAATTAGTGACAAATGTTAGTGTCACTACTGAGTTTTAGCAAATCAAACCTCATTTAAATATGTAATAATTAAAATTAAAAGTTAATAAATTTGATTAGAACCAAAGTTTAATAAAGCAAGTCTTATAGATTTCAATGTAGAAAACCAGTCATTTTCAAGCCCTAAGAAATACAAATGTGCAGTGGAACTAATTAATTCAAAAAACCTGAATGAATTAATACTCCCTCAGAAAAGGGGGAATAAAGAGAGTGTTTGGTATATTATTACATGGGTAGCTTTTCTCTTAGAGGCATGGCATTTTGAAGCGAATTATTCTAATACTTCTTGAGAGCTTAAAGGCTAAGTAAGATGTTATTTCATTCTTTTAGGAACAATCAGGATTCAAACATAGTTAATACTGCTTATATTTCATTTCTTTTCCATTTCTTTTCTATACAATCAGACAAAAGTTGCCTGATAAAACTTTTTTGACAAAAAATCAATTATCAAATGTTGTGTAATTAAGAACCATTTCCACTAAAGATTTAATAAGATGGCAGAGTAGAAAATGGGCAGTATGGGGAGTGGGGAAAGGGAAGGCAACAGGAAATGCAGAAAATTAATGTATCCCACTGCGTGTTTTTTAATTTGACTTATTCATCCTCTAAATATTCTCCACTTCTCACTTCTAGATCACTATTCTGGAGTAGTGGAATTACTTCCTTACTACGACCTAGAAACTATATATCCCCTTAAGGAATCACCTCTTGCCAAATAATTTCTATCAATTCTATGACCAGGTCAATAAAGCCCTGTGACTCTCCAACTATAAAATGGTAAATCAAACTGCCTCTGAAATAGAAAGTGAAAATGTATTTTCATTGATGGCTTTCCTCAAAGTACAACTATAGTTCTATACTTGATTCTGTACCTATCAGTAGTTCAACAAAATTTAAAAGCTTTAAATATTCATCTGTCATGAAAAGGTATTTTCAAAGATTTACATACCCAGATGGCCATTACCATACACATATGAAAGTATGTATTACTATTAAAATAAATATTTGGAAACTTTATTAAGTATCTTAACTGGGTTAACTGGGGAAGAAAGAGGGAAGGAGTAGTCAGTTTTGAGTGAGAGTACAGCTCAAACTAACATAGCCACATCAGAGTTCCTTGCAAGCAGAGATCATTTCATTCACAGTATTTGTATTCCCACACTATCTGGTACATACTAGGCACTTAATACATGATATTTTTAAGGGCCCATTAATGCTTTTTCATCTATTCATTCAATATGATAGTTGCTAGTTATTATATTGTATCGTCAGCCTGGAGATTCCCTCAAACAATGGAGATCAAAAACTCTTCTATAACTTGGTAGACAATCCTCGAAAGTTGCTATGGCCAGCTAACCTAGTATTGAGCCTTTGGGAGCTCAGCTACACTGGTCCTCTGACTGGAGCCATACAGTATATCACCAGGTCCAAATCTGAAAACTTAGCTGGAACCCCACCCCCCCAAGCTTGATTTCTACTTGGCATGGCCTTTGAGAACCTTACAGTCATCTCCAAACTACAATGAAGGACTGAAGGACTTTGGTGGACATACTTCAAAATTAATTGTAGATACTACTTTTTTAAAAAAAATTAAACCCTACTCAATAATAGTTAACTTCCAAATTCCACAATCCCTTAATTTGCCCTTTCCCTATCAGAACCAGAATCAGCTTTTGTTCGATGAATTTTGTTTTTTGGACAGTGGGTGGTCTCCCTAGCTCACTCAGGCTGGAAGCGCGGCAGTTTCTCAAAGCCTGATCACACAACTGACAACAGAACAGAAGCTTTGACCTGCTCTGTTTCACACCTGGGCTATGCAACCCTTCTTAGGCAGCTTAGTTTGGTGGCAACCAGCACCCAACAGCTCCCCATATTGATGCCTTACTTAATCAATATACCCCATTGGTTTTAGCCCTACTGCAGCTCAGACTTGTCAGAGCTCAAAACAATTCCCCAACTGAGTTCATCCCATTCCCCAGACCAAGCAGGGATTATAGATGTACTACTATAACCAGGTAGACAAATTCTCAAGTATAGATACATGTGGGTACATGATACATTGTTGTTTTGCTCTGAATTCACACAAAGACAATATTATGTCAAACGAATTATACCAGTTAAAATGTGATTCCACAAAATGCTCAGTAATGACAATATATATATATATATATACACACACTATTACAATATCTGTCATATCATCAGTTAGATTTTTTAAAAATCTAACATCAGACTAAATTACATAACTTGAATTAAAACAAATGTTTATTACTAAGCTCTCTGAAAACACATTTTAAAACAAAATCTTCAAAATCTAGATCAGAATACCAGTCAAATATTAAGAAGTCAAGAAACTATTAATTTTTAATTATTAAACTAAACTTAAAGACACAGGTATTGGACGAGTTTCAAATATATGTAATAAGAGCTCTATGAGAAAATTGTGAATTAGCAACGAATGAAGAAAATTAATAACAACATATGGACAGGGATATGGAAAATACTTGGATGGGGATGAAGAAGGTAATAAGAATGAAGAGGGCGACAGGGAGAAGATCTCTGGTTTCATGCCTTATAGAGAGCTCTGAGTAAGGAAACTCCCTCTACCAAAGCACCTTCTCTTCAACTAGTCTAAGAGCATTGCCTACAGCAGAGGTGGGGAAACTGTGGCCTCGAGGTCACATGTGGCCCTCTAGATTCTCAAGTGCAGCCCTTTGACTGAATCCAGATTTCACAGAACAAATTCCTTTAATGTTTCTAGACTTTCAGGCTAGCTCTCTACCCACAACGTCATGATGCATCTACACATAGATGTGGAAAATTCATATTTAAATGTAAACTAAAGATAGTTTCAAAGTATCTATGTAGCTTTAAAAAATGCAGTTTAAATCAATCTTTCAGCCTGCTACCCCTACTATACCCTCCTAAACACTCCCAAACAAACCTTCCTGCCCTTATCTTGGGGCCATGCTGTTCTGATTGTTGATAGTTCATCAAGTCTAGGCCAGCCCCAGTCAACCAATCATCATGCTTCAGACATCCTCCTTCCATGACATCACATAGATACTCCACCCAGTGCTCTGGGAACTGTACTCTACCTCATGCTCCAGAACTGTAATGAAATCAATACTACCATTGCTTCTGGAAAAAACCAAGTGATTGCCTTATGGCTCTACTCATTGACCCTTGTGATTCCTGGGCCAAAATGAGCCTTCCTGGGCATCACTTCCTTATCTACATTGTCTCCCACATATATAAGAGTCTAGAAAGTTCCTATCTCTTATTTTGTATTTGATACCCAGCCATCAGAACAGCATCTGGCACAAAGTAAGCATAAACGCTCTTTCATTCGCTCATTTTTCAATATTTCAGTGGCTAATTATTTAAGAACATTTTTTAAAAAGCTCAGTAACAAGAATGACTAAACACTTTGAAAATTTGAGATTTTATAGGTTCTGGCACTCCCTTCCACATTACTTAAACTGCAACCCTTCTATGCCTTAGTAGTTTGGTCTTCATGTGCTACTATGGCTAAAAAAATCATCATCTAACAGCCAAGGTTCTGAGTCTTTTTAAGAACTACTCTAGATAAGTTCCAATGAAAGACATATAGTCCATTGCTAAGCTTATATACACAATCTGATTGCAAAAAAAAAAAGAGAGAATTTAGGTCAAGAAGGAACCTTAAATATCATCCAGCTCAGGGGTTCCTAACTTTTTTGTGCCATGGACCCTTTTGGCTGGTGATGCCCATGGGCCTCTTCTCAAAATAACATCTTTAAATAAAGAAAATAAAATATGCAGGCTCAAAAAGGAAACAAATTATATTAAAATATGGTTATTGAAATATTTTAAAAGTTCACAAAAATATATAGAAAACTGAATCAAAAATATAGATAGAATTGAATTAAATTTATAAGAATATAAGTCATTCCTCAACTGATAAGTGGTCAAAGGATATGAAATAGGCAGTTTTCAGAGAAAGAAATTAAAGCTATCTGTAGTCTTATGAAAAAAAAATGCTCTAAATCACATTGATTAGAGAAATGCAAATCAAAACAACTCTGAGGTACTACATCACACCTATCAGATTGGCTAACATGACAAAACAAGAAAATTATAAATGCTGAAGAAGCGTAAAATTGGAATACTAATGCATTGTTGGTGGAGTTGTGAAATGAGCCAACCATGTTGGAGAGCAATTTGGAACTATGCCCAAAGGGCTATAAAAATGTGCATACCCTTTGACCTACTTCTAGGGCTGTATCCTAAAGAGATCATAAAAATGAGAAAAGGACCCAAATATAAAAGTATTTATAGCAGTTCTTTTTGTGGTGGCAAAGAATTGGAAATTGAGGGAATGCCCATCAACTGGGAAACAGCTGAACAAGTTGTGGTAGATGAATGTAATGGAATACTACTGTGCTATAAGAAATGACGAACAAGCAGACTTTAGAAAAACCTGGAAGGACTTATTTGAATTGATGCTGAGTGAAATGAGCAGAACCAGAAGAACACTGTACACAGAAACAGCCACACTGTGTGGTGACTCACTTTGATAGACTTAGCTCTT